GAAAACACACACAGCGCACCACGCTACTCATGACAATTGGGTCCGCGCACACACAATAACGCAGCCATACAATGATGTTCCGTCTGCAGAATGAGAGATGGATTGTGAAGCGGTTTGGACGCCATCCAGCTGGCCTCCTGAGCGCCCGCCGCTCCATCTACAGAGGCTGCAGCGTTGAGTCATCGCTCGCGGAAAGAACACAAACCTTACAGAACGTACCCGAGCGGATGTTGTGATTCACAAATCAGTCATTGACCGCCACGTATGGAATTTGGGAAACGTACTCTTCTGAGAGTTTCAATATAAACTTTTTTTGGGGGGGGAAGAATGAAAGTCAGCGGGGGAGGTCGTGACTCGCGTTACTGGAAATAATGTCCCTGTCGTGGATGTTCAGACGTTACTGTAAACTGTGCCTGTGACTACATCAGAGTCCGATGTGACACTTTTCTTTTCTTGTCCTCTTGTCACGGCACGTTTGTGCACATTCTCTCCCACCCGGGCCGGCGCTCCGACACTCTCCCTCTTCCTCTCTCTCTGTCTCTCTTTCTCCGTCTCCGGAGCTCGAGATGTGTCATCAACCATTGGAATCCTTCTGCAGTCGTGGTGACCAGAGGCCCTTCCCACCCCCACCCGACGACTCGCCCTAGAACTCTTCACCAGAACGCAACGTTGGTCCCACTGCACGGCCGGAACATGTAGCACGGCGCGGGGACGGAGGACATTAGAGGGGTTTTTTAAAAACACGGAAGCTCCTCGTAGCAAAGTCTGCGATTTTATTCACGTCATCGCGCGCGCTCTCACGCTGTCCCAAGCACGTCCTGTCTGACGCGTCTTCTTTTTTTACAAATCAGTCTAATCCGTCGACATGCAGCGGCTCCCGCCAAGACGAGCGAATGTGGATTCCATCGAGTGCGCGATGTGTCATCACGTGTGCCGGTGGAAGTATGATTACATCATAGGCGTGATATGTAGTATGGGAGTTTCCAGTTTCAACTGTCTCTGCCCAACCGGCTAAGACTTTGTGGGAATGTAAAATAAAACCGTTGGAAATAAAAACGATTGGTCTCAATTCAAAAAAAGCTGTGAAACAGTCAGTGGGATCAAATCTGTGTGACAGTTTCATTGTTGTATATTTTAAATGTGTTTATTCAGTTATTTATTAGCTCATTCTATATATATATAGTAAGAATTGTGTGTGACTTTTAGACAAAAGGAAAAGGTACATTCAAATATTGCAAGATTTATAGAAGTAACAAGACAAGACAGTTCTAAAAAATAAAAATGTACAATTAACATTTATGTTCACAAGTTGAGATGCACATTAAAATGAAATGATATCTAGGGTCTTTTCAGAGAGACGGTCCGCTGCGTTTCAGTGAATGGAGAAAATTCAATCTTGTCGAATACGAGCGAATGTTCCACTTAAAAAGACTTTGAAAAGTTTATGTTTAAGAAACTACTCACAAAAAAAGATTTCTCAGTGAGGAAAATACTACTGTTGTATTTATTTAAATATTTATTTCCAGATCTGGTTCAGCATCTTTCAGTTTGAAATGGACTCACAATTCAATCTCCTTCTCCAGTCTGCGGCTCGTTGGAAAAGGGCCGAACGTCCAACCTAATTCAGAAACTTTATCCACTTACACTAACGGGCACTTTAGGCTGCAGTCAATACCAGCTCACATGCAACTCTGCAATCAAATCAGAGACACGTAAAGATCCCGGGCCCAGTTTTAGTCAAAGATCAAGGGGCGAAGGCCGGGACAGGAGCCGGTCCGGCCGCATCGAGGTGTCAGACGGTGACGAGGCGCTGCAAAGGCCGGACTTGTGACCCCCCACTGTGTGTGTCGGCGCGCGTGCGGGGGTATGCGTGGGCTTCTCGTGGCGCGCGGTGTGGTGCTGCGAAGGCGGCGAGGTGTGTCCGTCCCACTCACAGCCGCTCGGCGTGAATCAGGGAGGAAACGGCGGCGGGCTGAGAACGTCGGGGCACGGTTCATTTCTCCTCCCCAGGCAGAGGGCGGCCCACTGGTGACTTTGATGGATAGGAATGCTGCTCACCCACCCACACACACACACACACACACACACGCGCCCACGCATGTCCCACACACCATGTCTCGCACACGGCACACAGGAATCACACGCAGGCTGCTCTGTCCCACCAGATCTGATATCCGATGAGAGATGTTTACGACCCGCCCCCACACGGCCTTCCTCCCCTGTCAATAAACTCTTCCCAGAAGTATGATGATGCATTATCCCGTAGCCGCTTATGGGCTTCGCTCTTGCATCCTCCATCACCGGCTCACCCATGTGCATCCTGCTGCAGCATGCAGCACACAAAGGGGTGGAGGAGGGGGGGGGGGGGGGGTCATTTGCGTCCCTCGTGATAAATCTGAGCATTAAGCCCTTGGTTATTTGTCCCATTAGCGCGGACAGAATAAGGGGAGATGTTGTAAGAGCTGCTGTGGATTAAAACTAATGACGCGGTGAAATCAGGTCTGCATGAAACCGTTTGCCGGCCTGCTCCTTTCTAAAAGATCTTTTTAAGGACTTTGTGGTGACGATTGGACAGCGATCGCACCAAACATGTTCCTTCCCGAGGAAGTCTGGTTGACACACATTTATGGAGTTTGATGGGTTTATTAACTGCCAATGACTCTTATCGGTGTGTGGGGGTTGTCAGCCTTCTGTAATTTAGGAGCCACCGGTATTAAAGTTCCTGAGAGCAGCTCACTAAAAAGAGATTCAACATGCGTGATAAGATGTAAATTTGTGTTCGGCCTCCGTGAGCCGTAATAACACAAATAAAGTCTCTACTAGCTCTCATCCATCATTGCCTGCGGTTATGAATCCAAAATGAAAATATAATCACTGTCAAATTCAGAATATTCCATTTTGAACAATGCACTGTTTGCGTTCTTTTATGTAGGTGGATTCTCGAGCACATTTAGATAAGAAACACCCTTTGCTGGATGTTTCTTCACTTTAATGAAGCCGTCTTTAACCAGTTTGATAACACCCTGCGTGACCTCCCGCTGCAAAAGAAAAGCCTTTGAAGAGATGATGCTACCAAAGTATAAAATGCATCAATATCCAGCTCTCAACGCGCATTTAAAAACATTGCCTTTAGTTGAAGTTGAATTACAAACCTTGAGCCTTTGCAGCCAAAAGGAGTTAAACGTCATCCAACTGTTTAAAAACAGGTCGGCGTCCATGAGACGTGACGCATTTTCTCAATACTCTTTTTAATTCTAACGTAAAGATGGCCGCAACTGAGCCTTTTCACATATTTAGCCTGCTAGTTCATTCTGTGTTTAAGGGAGAATGTTGCAATCATTTCTTTTCTCCGGGAGGGAAACAGAGTTTTCAGGAAGTGAGAGTCGCCCCGACCGCACGGCCTCAGCTCAGCCAAACCAGGTCAGAGAGTTCTGAGCCCCGAAAGAAGAACCCGACTCTCTCACGGCCCGAGCGACAAACATCAGGGCGCATTAGCTTCCGCTCTGCTCTGAAACCTCCATCAAACACACAACACACACACACACAGACAAAGCCGCTGCCAGTGCGACAAGCCTCAAAACAAGCTGCACGGAGCGAGATAATTCAAAAGCGGAGCGTTTTGACTCCTAACAAAGGGTCGTGTTGCAAGGAGGGAGTTTAACCGACTGCTTTCACTTTGTTCATCTGAGTCAGCATCTCCCCCTGAGAGAGACAGAGAGAGACAGATACGACTGTTGGTGGTGGGCAAAGATGGGAACCTTTGTCCGCTCGCTCGTGGAGTCTCTGGGAGATGTTTCTTTTCGAGCACACTCTGCTTTCTGTCACACACACACACACACACACACACACACACACACACACACACACACACACACACACACACACACACAAGGAGGATTCAGTTCTCAGGCAGCCTGATAACACGCGTCCACTGCACATTGTGTGTCTCTGTAATCAAGACAGAGAGTGCTGGTCCTGGAGGGGGGAGGACGTTGGGGGGGGGAGTTCTCGCCCGGTGCCTGGTGACATGCGTTGCACAACATCCCTCTTGTCCTTGAGGTGAACCACACGGTGATGATTATCACACATCAGAGTTACATGGACGCGATGGCAACGCTGCCGGTGTGATGTCGGCGGCGTCAGCGACGCGCTCTGAAACGCGCAAGAAAAGCCGCATGACGGGCCAATGGCACTGATCGTGACGCCAAAATGAAATGATAATGAACTGCGCCAATAGTCATAACACATTGTATATGTACTTTTTAAGTCAAGTGTCACTTGTAACTCACTGACATTGCTGTTCGACATTTATGGGATAATTGCAACATTGTACTTTTTATTTTAATGCATCATGTTACAATGCAATATGTGATTATGCAGTTAGAGTGAATAAAACTAATTTAAATATTATGGATTATTTTCTTTATAAGTCATTATAACATGTTTTATAATTTACTGCAATAATAATAATTTTTGGTCATAATTAATAATAATGATAATAATAATAAATAATAATAATCTCTATAAACATTCCCGTTGTTGTCAGAGGCGTTTTCAGAGTTTCCCCGAAAACACAAACTGCAACCAAACGTTTTGTTTACCGATCGGACGTTTCCGTCTCCATGGAGCCTGTTTACCTGCGCTGTTGCTCGGTGACGTTTCCCCCCCCCCCCCCCCTTTATGTCGTCAGGGATGCCCACGCCCCTCACACCGCACACCGTCTGTTAGGGTAGTAGAAAACACCACCGGCGGGTCAAGGGGGAGGGAGGGGGGGGGGTCCCTTTTTAGATCCCCCCCCCCCCCTCCAACACCATCAGCAGGGCCCCCGCGCGGAGAGCCGGGGGCGCATTGGCACAGTTTCGGGAGTCCATCTGTATCTATTGCTTCTCGGAGGTGTCACCACCCCCCCCCCACCGTGATAGAAGCGTGGCCACCTTAAATGGAATGCTGACATAACGAGAGGCATTAGTCCCCGCCCCCATCCGAGAGGACTACATGAAAGAAGTATCTCACCTTCCCGTGCGCAGCTCACAACCGAGACGCACACCGGCGCGCACACTGCGCACAGGACCGTAACCGCACGGTGGATATTCGAGTGTTTGGATTTATCGCAGAGATCTTTCTTCGGGTTTTTTGGTTTGTTTCTGTCACCGCTGGTTGTTTATGTTTACATGCCAAAGCTGGGGAAACACACCGCAACACGACACACTTTCGCGCGGAGCTTTAAAGTTATCGCCACGATAATTGGTAAGTGCGTTTAAATATGAAATCCAGTTCATTTTGTTTCATTTTGCTGTCATCGCGTGTGCGTGCGTGTGTGTGTTCATTTGAACCGGTTAACCGCGTTACCCGTCCGCGGTATCGTGTCAGTGGGTTAGGAAATTGATTAGGAGACCAGCAGTCAATCGCGGATCGATAAAAGCGCGTTGTCGAGTGATTGGATGAGCCACCTTCCATGTAAATGTCGTGGACATGATTAGCTTAATAAGGCCCGGTATCGACGACGGGAGAATGTCACCGTTACTGTAAATTATCGTTAGTGTGACAGTAAGTCGTTGCTGATGTCCGCTGTTTTTAGCAGCGCAATAACGACCTTTATTACATGGAACCGCAGCGGGGACAACATGCCCAGAGTATAATATGCTCATTTTATTGCTTTGCTCGGAAGAAAAAATGAGTCATATTTCTGACGGGTGAAACGTTTTGCTGTAAAGTCCGAATTGCATTGTGCAAAAGTTGCAAAAACTTGCAAGTTGTTTTATTGTCGAAGTTCCTCATTTGGCCGCTGGGTGGCGACCGAGTATCTCCTTTACCACGTTAGAGCCCCTAGCACTCTTTTTAGACACAATTTGGGAACGATCACCAATCCGTCCCTTTGTACACGTCTATGTTCCTGTACAACGTTTTTATCCACGATCAAGAGAAAAACATCTACGGTGCGTGTTTCATATGCACGCATATTATTTCCCCTTTTAAATGCCAACCTCTGTGTGTGCTTCTGGCCTGCTGTGCAGCCTACTATCAGTTTACAGGCATCCTGGTAATATATGGCATATAACCATAACCATAGCATTCACTGGTTAGTCATTACGCCGGACCTAATGGATCGACTTCCATAGAAATAATAATTAACAGCGAGCGAGTTTTTTAAAGGACCGCGGGCCTCAGTTTAGGCGCCGCTGCTGCGCGCGGCTCATATTTTTGTCCTCCGCCGTAATTTATTATGAATGGCCTAAACTCGCCTGCCCTCCACGTGGGTGTGGATACCTCCTCGCCATTGGCTGAACCCGGCAGCGTTCTCACGGAGCTGTGCCGTGATTGGCCCGGGGGGGGCGCGGCCGTCGGCGCTGTGGGCGTGTTTCTATCGCCGGTGCGAGTGTGATACTTTGTGGACAACGTTCATCGTCGATATTTCACTGGAGCCGCCGCGGGGACGAGTGCGCAGTGGAGAGCCTCTCTCTCCCCCTCTCTCTCTCTCTCTCTCTTTCTCTCCCCCCCCCTCTCTCTCTCCACTGACCGTATGAGGCGTCGCAGCTCGCGGACCGTCGAAAATAAAAGCTCACTAAACACCGAGAGGAATTTATATTCTTTTTTTTTTTCTTACATTTTTACGTGCCCGTTTTTTGGAAAGGAACCCGTGTGCGTAAATGAGCGTCCGTGGCGTGTTTGCTGACAACATACTCGCGTCTCCGCCGGGCATTTACCCGTTTATGTAGCATTCAGGAAGACTCTCGCTTGCAACAAAGAAGCAGCAGCAGCAGAAGAAGAAGAAGACTCAACCAAAGGGCCGAGCAGAGCGAGAAAGGGAGCCGCGTTTAGTCGAACCTTCCTGGGGGAATATTCTCATGGTATCGAGCGGACAGAAGACGGACCGGGTGTTATTCAGACTCTCGGAGACGGCTCTCTGAATGCTGCCTTTGAGCAACGACCGGTAGCCAGCCGTCCACCTCCCCAACCCCCCTCCTCCTCCTCCTCCTCCTCCCCCAACACCCCAGCTCCATCTCCGGCTCTGCTCGTCTCCTCCCCACCCACAACTTCCCTCTGAACCACAGGTTATCGGATGGACCAGCACCCCAGCGCCCGGAGCTGCACCAGTCGCGGGGCTTCGTCCTGTGAGGCCGTCCCGACGGAGCCCTCCATGAATCTGTACATCCACTCCACCACCGGCACACGCTTCGAGCTCTCCCTCCCCCAGGAGGAGACCGTGGACGGACTGAAGAGGAGGCTGTCGCAGAGGCTCAAAGTGCCGAGAGAGAGACTCGCGCTGCTGCACAAAGAGACGTGAGTTATTTGTTCCGCACGTTTACCGTAATGCCGAGACTGTTCCGCAGTAGGAAATAATAGATGCGCATAGATCCGCGTTGATGTGCGTATCCCCCCCCCCCCACCCCCCCCGGTAAGAAATAGCCGCAAATGACCTTGGGTTTAAGAATGCTAAAAGGGCTATATTTTTCTTTCTTCTGGTTTTAAGATGTTAACCCGGTAGGGCTCGAGTCACGGCAGACACATAAAAACAACAAAACCACACGCGGGAAGATAGAAAAGAGAAAGAAAATATGCGCGATAGGAAGCGCAACATCAATTATGATTCTGTAATGCCATCAGTTGACCTCGTGGAGTCATGAAGAGGCCCAGCCTTCTCTCTGTTACTTTACTGCTCTAATGAGGAAGTGCTCTATCGTTTTCCAATAATGGCTAAAGATCTCACGACACGCAGCATCACATGATTGATAGATAGTAGTGACTGAAGGGATGCGAGATGCTGAAGGAGGGGAGTTCGGGCGAGTGACAGCAACGATGTACGACATCTCGTCGGTCAGAGTAGGCAGAAGACAAAGAGAAAAGATGAGGAGAATGTGTGACGAGCAATCGATAGAAGGAGAGGATAGAGGTAGTAGAAGTGCATGATGTCACGACTAGTGCATGATGACTACTATTACGTAAGCGTAACTGAGCTGCATCGGATGCTATGAGGGTAGGAATAACGTAGCATGCAAAATCAGTCAGGGAATGCAGCAATGACTAGTTAGGAGCCTGGACGTTAGGTAAGGGATTGACGATTGTGACGGCAAAAGCTTACGAAGGGGCCAAGTAACCGGGAAACCTTTGGGGAAAGAATGGGGGAAAAAAAAAAAAAGCCGTAAATTTGGGGACCCTTAGGGGATATTTGGGGGTGGGGGTCATGACTGTGCAGGAACGCCCTCCACGGGGGAGTCGGTGCATCGTGACCAGAGAGTAGGAGAGAGAGAGAGGGGGAGAGAGAGAGAGACCTCCTCCTCCTGGAGCGGACGCTGCTGCTCTGCACCAAACGTTTCCTCCACCATCACAGTTGGGTTCTTGAGCGACCGGCGCGCCGTTCTCTCCACACTCGCAAAAGGGACTGTGGGACTTCTGCCTCTCGCTTTGTTGCGACTCCAAACAGGAAAGAAGAAGACAAAAAAAAAAACCCCGCTCTGCTCCACTTAGGCGAGTGGCAACGGCGGCAGATATATGCACGCGAGCGCTCGTCAGCTCCACTCCGCTCGGAATTGAAAAGTGACAAGACGATCAATACTTCTCTTTCATGGTGCTTTTCAGCCGCGGCTCTTTCAAACTAGTTTTCAATTCTGTCTAGCCCCCCCCACCCCTCCCCCTCCCTGGCTGCAGGCTGTTTGTGTGACTGAAGAGAGAAGCCGTTGTCAGCACAGTCTAATTATCTCCATCTCTTCTAACCCTTCAGGCGACTAAGTTCAGGCAAACTCCAGGACCTCGGCATCTCCGATGGGAGCAAGTTAACGCTTGTACCAACAGTCGAAGCAGGTTTAATGGTAAGGCCCACCTGGCTGGGACAAAGTCCTGATCATGTACGTGTTTATATGCACGCATTCATGTTTTTGCATATTTAGAATAACACCATTTCTGCATATTATTTAATACGTTCTTTTCCCCTCCGTGCAGTCTCAAGCATCAAGACCCGAGCAGTCAGTGATGCAAGCCCTGGAGAGTCTCACGGAAACTCAGGTGAGCGGCCGTTTATGCAGCGGTGCAACGTGGTTGCAATGCAAACCGAGCGTATGGTCTGCGTGTTGCGTGGGCACATGGGAGGCCGTGGCGGCGTCGGCGCGGAGCAACAGCCACATGGAAACGGAAACGGAGGGGAAAGCGACGAGCTGAGCCGGCGGGCAACACGCCTCTCTGTGCTGGTCTAACGTGCGCCTCTCAAAGCAGCCGAGCCAGACATCGGGACATAATAAGCAGCAACACCCCTTGTATCCTAGTAACATCTGTGATGGTGCGTGTGCGAGAAACCAGGAGCTTAATAAGATTTGACGACCAGCAGCGCACATGGACAGCCACTGCCACCTTCTGCTGATGCCTTTACTGTAACTTCCCCCCCCCCCCTCCTGCTCCCTTTAAAAAATAATTCATGCTCTAACACACACACACACACACGCACACAGGCACGCACAGGCAAGTTTCCAGGAAGTGTGCTGTGCCCGCAGTGTAGTCTCACTCACTCAGACAGATAGTGCCGGATCATCGGATGACAGCCGCCTCGCTCGCTATTAGCCCCGAGGTTCCTGGAAGCGGGGCCCTCTTGCGTCCCCCCCCCCCCCCCTCACCTCACAGGCCCGCTGAAGTAAAGGACGCGTTTGAGTCAGCGTGACGCGATTCGACCGAAAAATGATGATGAATAGCGAGAGTATAGAGAAGCAAAGCGTTCACACAAGAGAACGCACGCACGCAGGCGTGACGTACGCCGCACGCTGCAGCTGATTGACTGACTCACAGCTACTTCCTTTTTGCGGCGTCGGGCCGACGCTGAGATGTGCGTTAGTGCGCCGCAGAGCCATGACAAAACCGGGGGGGGGGGGCGAGTCGGCCCGGAGAACGGCGGCGTGCTCCAAGGGTTAGATTAAGGGGTTATCAGGTGACTTGGTCGCTCGCCGCCGCAGCGGAGTTCGGTCCGCTCCTTCCTGGTGGGAATCCTGGCCTTGTGGAGTGAGTGTGTGTGTGTGTGAACTCAGCAGGCGCCTCGTGGCGCCGATGACTGCGTGTGTGTGTGTGTGTGTGTCCATCATGTGTTTTGCTGCGTCAGCCAATGAGCGAGGGACATTTGAATCCACCTCCTGACGTAGTTTGCTTTGGTGTGTTTTCATCTCGAGGAATTGATTCCTCTTCTTAATTGATGACGGGGGAAGGATATAGATCGCATAGAGATTAAGGATCTGAGTAAGATTAGAAAAATAGGAACCCGACCCCCCCCGACCCCCCACCTTCCTCCTGCCTCTGGATCAAAAATCAATCAATGCACTTAGCTCTTAAAAGTCTCCGACATGATAACTGATACGCCGAAAAATAGCCTGGGGGGGAAGAGGGCGCGCTGCTCGCTGTGCTGGGCGTAGAAGGAGCGGGTGTCAACCCCTGGTTGTTTAACACCCCCCCCCCCCCCCCACACACCACACACACACACACACATAGGTGTATTTGGGTCCATGTGAGTTCTCATTTCCCAGATCGGGTGTTTTCCAGGGAAGCGTGTGTGTGTCCATGAAAGGAGGGGGGGGGGGGGGGGGCTAAACGGATCACCCTATGGCGTATACGTTTCAGCGGGAGCATGGGTGACCTTTAGCAGCTAGCAGCTAGCCGGCCGGCTGAGCAGAACACGTCTCTGGACGCGTTAGATTAAGAAAAAGGAGCCGTCATGTGTGTGACTGTTTTCTCTTTTCTTTGCTCTCTCCTGCTCTCTTGTTCCTGCCGAGCAGCCCTCACAAGGGTTTGCGTGTCTCTCGGTTTTGACCGCCATGTCTGGCTTCGTCAGCGGGCACCACCCCGGGTCCTCCCCTGGCACCACCCCGCCCCCGCCCCCGCCCTCCCGGGACCTTTTTCTTTTTCTTTAGCTCAACATCTAAGCTGCGTCGAGCCGCCGCCTCGCGACGGCCCGTCACAAATACAGTTGCCCGTCTCCTCCTGTCTGCTAAATAGAGGTTGTGTGTTACGCACACGCACACACACGCACACACTCTCACCACACCAGAATTGTTAGGATATATTTAAGAGGATTGAGTTGAGAGAGTGTCTCGTACACTTGCAAGACAAGCGGCGAAGGGGAAATGAAAGCCCCCCCCCCCGAGCGTGTGCAGACTGTGACATGTGACCATTGATCTCGCTGTTTGACAGAAAGGGAAGGATTATGTGTCCCTCCCAGCACACGGGGACTATTTGCTCATTGATGCACATTGATGTTAGAATAAAAGCCAACCAGGCATCGCGCACCCCCCCCCCCCTCCTCCCCCCACACCGATTTCCCCTCCCCCCCCTGAAGCAACCACTTCTTTGTTCCTGTCTTAAAGCAGGAGCACCAAACCTGCCCTCAAAACACACAACAATGATGGCGGGTCCCTCTTTAAGGCCCCCCCACACACACACACGGCCATAACCGGACGCCACAGAGTGTGTGTGGTGTGTGTGTGGTGTGTGTGTTAAACAGCTCAATGCAGACGGTCAATACATTTTTTCTAACACCTCATCTAGATTGTAGTTAATCAGCAGGATTGACACTACTGGAAATCATTGGAGAGTAATTGTACGCCGGCTTTGGGAGTGCGAGGAATAGAAAAATGACCCCGACTCAATCAATTGTTGCTCCATGTGAGAGGAAGCTCCTCCTCCTTTTTTTTTTTTTTTTTTTTTACAGCTCCTTGTGTCCTTCTCTGAAATGAAGGCTTTTTATATGCCGGCGGTGTAAGAGAGGGTCCGTGCTCTTTGGAATGCTAATTTGTTTTGTTTCCGGACACAAATGAACGCGAGAGAAATTCGTTTTGTTGCAGGACGTGTAAATCAAACGGAACAGAAGACAACGGCGGTCTGACGGCCTCTTTAGTCCGCGCTAATCCGGCGCCTTAAATTGCTTTAATAAGCTGATCACGCGGTATTCCTGCACCTGGATCACTGTGATGCTTAAAGCACAGGCGGGGGGGGGGAATCAGGTGTAATGTGGGGCAATAATAGAGATGGATGGATTTGCGGGGGATCACTATGGTCATCCCGTTGCCCCCCTCCCTCCCGTACCCAATCTACCCGGAACACGAGATGCTTCCTGAGTCGGTTGGCTTGGGGGGGGGGACTTCATCTTAGGAATCGTCCTGAGGTCTGAGATTCTGATCTCTCTCTTTTTCCCTCCCCCGGATCCAGGAGACTGGGCCATGGCCAGCTGGTCATCTGCCCCCCCCACTCTGTTTCTTATCAGGTGGTATTACGAGAGCGGTATTTTTCAAATGGGGCCTTTGAAGAGCGCCCCGTGGCTTTTTTTTCTTAGGGGGGTTTAAATGCCCCAGGCTTTCTCTTTTGGGTCTCTTATTACATCTTAGCCTGTGTTGTTTGATTAACTATCAATAGTATCAAGTTGGTTAACTATCAAACTTCAAACCTGCGAGTCGACAGGTGAGCCGCCACGTTGCCCCTCCCCCTCTAACCCCCCCTCCCCCGACCCCTCCATCCTCTTACTCCGGCACAAAGCTGCTCAGTTGCTCATGAATGTTGGCTCGGTGCTGCCGGCGCCCTCCGTCCCCTCCCTCTCCCCTCGCTTCCTGCCTCGCTCCTTATCTCCCTCCCTTAGTTCGCTTAGTGTGCAAAAGACGAGCGACTGCAAATGAGTTCCTTGAACCGCGGGGACCCCAATAAACAAAACTGTCAGCCAGAGACGTCGAAGGAGGAGGGAAAAAAAACGAGGCAGAGGCAAAGAGCCAGAGGCAACGCTCTCACTGAATATTTCATCACCCCACCACCACGCTGACACCCTGCCCCCATCGCCCGAGTCCTCCCCCATCTCCATCCCTTGCTCTCTCATGCCACCCCCCCCATCACCGCATAGCTACCAAAGCCGCCCGCTAGACACAAACACCGCCTCCCGGACCCCCACGAACTGAAACAAAATGGCCGACGGCTGCAGGGTCACCGGCTTAAAGAGGAGACAATAAGTGGAGCGGCGCTTTATCAAGAGGCTCCGCCCCTCCAGCTTCTGATGAGCACACCTTGTTCTTCAGGCATGAGCTCCTCTGCTCCCTGCATGCCACCTCTGCTGCGTCAGAAAGGGAACAATGAACGGCCGCCGCCCCCCCCCCACCCTACCGGGTCAGCCTTAACACAACAAAAGCGGGGGGCCCTCCACCCCCCCCCCCTCCCACCCCAGTCTCCTGTAACAAATCGCCACGGAGAGCCCGCTCCTCTCGAGTGGCTAATTTGTAGCCCGCCATGTGGTGTTTGGTGCATTTCATCTGGGCGGTTTTGAATAATCCACGGTGGTCATTATGAGGGTAATCAAGCCGTCCCTGTTTGTCCTGCTGCCACTCGCGCGCACACACAAAGGCCGAGTAAACAGCGGCGCCCTGTTTGGACTTGGCCCGGGATGCCATCTCGAATGATGTGGTCGTGTTAAGCCACCCGATTATCACACACATCATCTCCTGCCCGCGGCTAGCAGCTAACGGCGCTGAACAGCTGAAACCGCGCAAAAGGACGGCAACCGCGCTGAAAGAGCCGCAGGTTTTTAACACCGTGGCGTTCCTTGACGGCCGTCAGTCACAGATGCATTAGTCGTCTCTTTCTCCACCTACCCCGACGTCTCACACACACACACACCTGGTCCCTCAGGTGACCTTTTGTACACGGGAGTTTCCTCGGGTGATCTCAGGTAGCACCCTGCCCTCCTCGCCAGCTCGCACCGCGCCCTGCGGGGCTCATTGTCTGAGCATGGCGGTGTGATCACGGGGGTGTGGACCAGACTGTCAGCAGGAGGGGCGGAGCTTCTGTTAATCCGGCAGCAGCCTTTTTATTTTAATGCTGATTTCTGTTGATTTATTTAAGTGTTGAAATGCAGCCATGAGATAGTCGTCTCCCCCCCCCCCCCCTCACCCTTTCCCCGGAATGTGTGACCCCAATATATTCCCTTCCTCTGTTGGACAGTTAACTTAATAATATAGGCTACAAGGAACTCATAAAATCATTCATGTTCAGAAAAGAGGGGGAGACCTGGGTGTACCACAGAGGTCCCCGCTCTCACGGACACTCTACTAAAAGGCTGCGGGGGCCTGGGGGGGCGTCTTTGTTTGTATCCCTCTATTACTAGTTTTCTCTGCTTTGTCGCCATCGCTCTTTCTCTCGTCCTCTTTCTGCCCCCTCCTCCCCTTGAGAAGCTTTTTTGGGTGTCGCTTGTGTCTTCCTGTCCTCCCCCCTCCCTTCCCTCCCTTCCCTCCGGGCCTCTCTGGGGACCGAAAGCACACAGGGCGGTCCGGGTTGGCTGAAACCTCTCTTTTGGACGGCGGTGTCACTTCCTGTTTGCTTCTATCGGAGGTCGACTCGAGGTGTCAGGTTTGCGTGGGTTCTTTCTGACCGGTGAATGACCCCCCCCCCCCCCCCCAAAAATCTCGCTGCAACGGAGCCGCAGGCATGTGGGGGGGGGGCGGCGGCGGCGGCGGCGGCGGCAAGTGGACTTTTGTTGTCGAGTGTGAATCCGCCGGCCTAGTCGACACAACTCGTCCGTCCGGGGCGGCGGGGGCCTCTGCACTCGGTCACTGCCAGAGCTCCAAAAAAGGGCAGCCCTTCCAGATCCGCCGCGGACAATCGGCCATTCTGTGGCGGCGAGGCGGGCGGGCGGGCGGGCTGCGTTTCCTGGGACGTGGGACTGATTTTTTCAGCCCCCGGCCCAGGCAGAGGGGCGGCCTCTGTCTCTGGGCGGAACGACACTGCTGACTAAGAACGCGTGTGTGTGTGTTCCAATAGGTCTCCCCATCCGCCGCTCCCCAGCAGATGTAAAGAGGCCAGTGTTACAGAAGAGTGATTGATTGCGCGATGGGCTAATGTGCTGTGTGTCTGTGAGACGGGGAGCTCAAAGCTCTGTTGTGCGCATTTCAACCGCCATCCACGGTGCAGGCTGTTCATTTACAAAGGAGGAAGTCAATATGCGTGGGGGGGGGGAGTTTTTTTTTTTTTTTCCCTGTCTCTGAAAGGCTTTGGCAGTCTGTACGTAACGTGGATGCAGAGTTTCTAACACCTCTGTGCCAATAAATCATGCGAGATTTGCTCTTTTTTTTGTTTTGTTAATGTGGCAAAGCTGCTGCCCTGGTGACGTTTTTTTGTGTTTCTCAAATGCTCCTTTTCGTCTGCCCCCCCTTTCAGGTCAGTGACTTCCTGTCCGGCCGCTCCCCCCTCACCTTGGCCCTGCGCGTTGGCGATCACATGATGTTCGTCCAGCTCCAGTTGGCGGCGCAGCAGTCCAGCGGCCCGCAGCTCCAGCACAGGCACCTCGTCACCCGGGGCAACGCGGAGCCCGCCGCCGGGCAGCCCGCCGCCGGGCAGCCCCGCGTTCCCCACCCTCACCCGCACTCCCACCGCCCCCATCACCCGCAGAGCCACCCCGCGCCCCACCTGCCCCAGCCCCACCTGGTCCCGTCCTCCCCGTCCTCCCCGGGCTCCCCTTCCTTCCCGCTGCGCTCCGCGCACCAACCAGCCGCTCCCCCCCATGAAATACCTAGTCGCCCTCCCCCGCGCACTGTAGCCCCCCGCCGCCGCCGCACTCCCCTCGCCCGTCCAACGTCCCCGCAGGACTTTTCCGCTCTCCGGCCGCTCACCACCACCATCACTACCACCAGCCTTCCTCAAGCCAGCCGGGCCAGGACGGCGGCCAGGCCAGCCCCGTAGCCCCGGTCCTCTGCCCCGAGGTGAGTCTGCAAAAGGCCGTCAGCGATCCGCGGGGTTCCGTCGTATCTAACGTGCTGGACACTAGCGCTTAGCACTTAGCGCTCTCGCGAACGCACAATGGAGGCCGTTGTCACCATTAACGTGACTAAATTGATTAGTGGGATATCCCGGCAGCGTGAGGGCGATCCCGTGGTTCACTCGGGTCCGAAGAAGTTCTGTGTGTGTGTGTGTTTGTGTGCGCGCTTCCAGACTACAGTGCACGCACTTAGTCATCACTGCTTTCCAAACAAGTGCAAACAAGCCAACACACACATAAAACCGGGCGTGCACGGCATCCCCATGACCTCATCCTTCTGGATGGGACGCGCTGGGGGAAAAGGAGACGAGGGGGATTTAAAGCGAGGCAGGTTTTATGAATCAGACTTTGTTTTTCTCGTCACGTGGAGACTTATCGTTAACTGCGGGGTTCTCGGGCATCCGCCATAAAGCTTTCACAGACGTTTGCTCTTGAGATCGCCACAGGGAACACATCCACCCGTCCCCGCCGACCCGAGAGACTTTCACTACCTCCTTGAGCTTGCGGCCCGTGGAAAGCGAACGAGAAGCAGATGTCAGTGGACCAATGAGGGGGGTGGTTCATAACTACAATAACAGAAAGACGGGCCCGTTTGCTAGTGAGGAGGGAAAAAAAAACGGCCCTTCGTCATTAGGCTTCGACGCGCACAAGCACGCCGGCCTTTGCCCGGGTTTTCGGTTTCACTTTCGGGTTTCAGCTGAGTGATCCGAGTTAAGCTGAGGTCAGGAAACGGGGGGGGCGCCATGTTTGATCTCTCTCGGGTTTGAGGTAACAAGATGTAGGACGGCACAAAGCTCTGTTTCCCTCCTCCACTTAGTTCATATACTGCGTGTGCTTGTATAGGAACGTATATGTTAGCACTATGCTAACACAAAATGTGATGTGTTCTTTGCCCCAAAGACTCAATTCTTTGCCGTTCCATGCTTTTTTTTTTTCTTTCTCCAGGCCAGCTGCAGCCCCGGCAGCCCCAGCAGCCCCGGCGGCGGCAGCGGCAGTCCCTCATCACGCTCCCGTAAACCCGGCGCAATCATTGAGAGCTTCGTCAACCACGCTCCCGGAGTCTTCTCAGGGACCTTTTCAGGTGAGAGGACACTCAAATGTCCACTCGCAAAAGAACTGGGACATCCGACACGTCGTCCCGGCGCGGGTCCGTGTTGGAGCGGGCAGCTCGTGGACATCCGGCGTAACGCTTCCTCCGTCTTTCCTTCCCCGCAGGCACTTTGCACCCTAACTGCCAGGACAGCACCGGGCGTCCCAGACGCGACATCGGCACCATCCTGCAGATCCTCAACGACCTCCTGAGCGCCACGCGCCACTACCAGGGCATGCCGCCCTCCCTCACCCAGCTGCGCTACCAGACCCAGTGCGGCTCGCCCGCCTCCCCGTCCCCCTCGCCGCCGCCCTCGCCCCAGGTCGCTGGCGTGGCGGGCCTCTCCGCCAAAGCTACCTCCGCGCCCGCCGGCAGCCCGAGCGTCGCTGCGCCGACTCTCCACCCGCTGGTGCAGTGCCAGAGTCAGATCCGCATGTGCAAACCCCCCGGTGAGTGACCTCGAACAGTGTGTGTGTCTGTGTGTGTGTGTGTACTGAAATCCACTCCTATAACTTGAATGAATGAATTGTCTTCTGTCTCTTGCACGTCCCGGTTCTGTTGGGATTATTTTGCACCATTTCCTTGTTCGAAAGTACGGTTGAAGTGAGATTAAGTTGTCAAGTTGTCTACATCTCCTGGGTTTTGATGCACGGGGGGGGGGTGTTGATAGAAGTTGCGTTACAAGATACAACCTGCTCAGTCAGGCGGAGGTGGCTTTGTGTTTACTCCCCCCTCCCTCCCCCCCCAAGCCTGGGCCGGGTCATGTTTAGTTTAGATGGTGTTTCGGTTGATTAACCCTTAAAGAAGAGTAGGGGGCATGTAGGCATCCACGGCCCGGACTTAAACCCCGACGGGCCCCTGATCCCCCTCGTGGGGGGGGGGGGACGGGCGTGCTGGAGTTCTGACGATCGCGTTAAAGAGTCTGGAGTTTTGAAACCTGGAGTTTTTAGGTCCCCGCGGAGACACAGGAAGTCGCGTGTCAGGCAGATGTCCAGAGGCGAGAACGCTCGGTCGGTGCTGTGAGGTCAGAAACTACATTGTCCTCCCTGGATGTGTTTTGAAAAGTCCGCCGGTTTGTGTTTTAATATTGTCCTTTTTGGTTTGGTAAAGCGCACGAGCGCACCGTTGTCCCGCTCCGGCGCTGTCCCTTGTTTTCTGGCCCTCGGTGGCGAACAGAATGGAGATTTTCTTGGTCCCGGCGTGCCGTGGGAAGGTCCACCGTGCCTGTGCGTCACCCCGGGGGCCCTTGCTAGTGTCCGGTGAACAGTTGGAATAACACCGGCTTAATTTTCTTAACTCACCCCCGCTGTCCTCACCCCTCTCTCTTCGTCTCTGCCCTCTTTCCACTGGTCAATGCCTTCTAATAGATTTATTACAGCATTCGGCTCTGTAAAGAATTTGCTTTGTGAAGTAGAGGGCAGTTAAAAGAGGTGGGAGGAGGAGGGGGGGGGGGCGGGGGTGTAAACCACAACTCTAAGCCTCCATTCATCATACGGGTGTTTTGTATCCTGTCCATCGGCCCCACTGATTAACCAACGGCAAAGTCGCCTGCACGCGGTGCTGCTGACTGAGCGCCCTCAGGCGCCTCCTTATCAGCCCCAGACGTACTGGACTTACTGGCCGCGGCTTAACGCCGCCTTCAGAGGCGGGAACAACCGGCGCTTCTCACCTGCCCGAACGTGTGTGTGTGTGATGTGTGTGTGTGTGTGTGATGTTTTTACAGCGTCTTGGAAGTGAAGTGAGGAGGTAGAACGCCGCTCTCGTGCGTCCTCCGGCTTTCCTCGCAGTTTTGCTGATTTTGGGGTTTGTCCCAACGCCGTGACTCGTTCAGGGGTTTCAGCAGGAGGTGGGAGTTTGGGGGGGGGGGGGGGTGTTTAGCGTGGCCTGGCAGGCTGATTGTTAGCTAAATTCCTTCAACTGAGTAGGTTGGACCTCCCCTCCCCCCTTTCTTTCCCTCTCGAGCCCCTTCAGCCCCCTGCCCGGCCAAGCCCATTGTGCAGGGGCCTGAGACGGCGGGGCCGGGGCCTACAAACGGGGCCCGGGGGGAACCCATGTGGGGCCGGGGAGGGGACGGCTCCGGTTTTTAAAGGCGGCTCTCTATCCCATTCCCAAGGGAGCGGCCTTAAAAACGGGCCCCCACGGAAATTTTTGCTTGGGGGTGGGAGGGGGGGGGGGGGTGTTAGTCTTCCCCTCTTTATTACATTACAGGTCATTAAGCTGACGCCTTTTCATCCAAAGCGACTTGCATTGCATTTTTGACCTGGGACATGGAGCAGCCGGGACTCGAACCGCCAACCTTGCGGTTCCCAGTACGGGCTAAAACCAGCCGAGCACATCAGGTGCCCTTTCATGTCGACGGGGGGGGGGGGGAAGCCAATTAAATGGGCCGCCCGTGCCCTTTTCACCCACTGGCAGGGTGCCCAAACCCCCTTGATTTGCTTTTCGCACTTATCTCTGCGAATACCTGGGTTAAACCCTTAATTTCTTGATTGCCCCTTCTTTCTTTTCCCCTGTCTCTCTTTAAAATACCTAGGTCAAGGATTAGAATGCGTCTGTCGCCACTTGAACCAACGGGCCCGTGGCCCATGAGAGTTGACACCCCCCCCTCCCGGTTTTGAATACGATCCCGCGCTAACTACGCCGTTGTGATGTTTGAGCCCTTCAGCACGAACCCGTAGGATGGAGAGAGACGGCGATTCCCGGGGAGATTACGGGCCGACTTTACTGCAATGGGATTTTCGATTCCCCCCCCCCCCCCCCTCGTTCCCTTGATGCTGAGCAAACACAATGTTCTCTCAGCGAGACCACCGGACTCATCAAGGCAAACAAACAAACAACAGCACTAAGACGCCTGCAAATGAAGGCTGGTCTTTGTACAATCGATAAAAGGAGAAGCTACTTTAATCCCCCCTCCCTCTTCCATCCTCCGTCCTCCTGCCCCCACCCGTGTGGTAGTGGGGGCAGGGAGTGATAGGTGCTCCCTATCTCAACCCTTCACTGTGTTGCTGGGCTCAAAGGCAAGGAAGACCGACTGGCGCATCGATTATTCATAGATCGCCCCCTTCTTCCTCCGTCTGCTTTCCCTCTGCAGTATTTACCGCTTCAGGCGCTGCAGGGGCAGCTCGTTCCGTGTGTGTGTGTGTGTGTGTGTGTGTGTGTGTGTGTGTGTGTGTGTGTGTGTGTGTGTGTGTGTGTGTGTGTGTGTGTGTGTGTGTGTGTGTGTGTGTAGTCGGTCCTAATAATAGCCCTTCTGTCATAAACATAGTCTGGAGATCCTCGCGGCCAGCTGTGTCCGGCCCGGGCTCCGGTAATGACGCTGATGAGCGGCCACACACACACACACACACACACACACACGTCCGGTGTAGCTCCACATTCTTGGAGCTCTTGCCAGGACAAAGGCCAAAACCCACAGCCCCACCAAACGGCCCGTGTGTGTGTGTGTGTGTGTGTGTGTGTTTCCCTGTTCTTGAATATGTAGATTGAACTCTTGAGATAATTGCGTTTGGAGTGGACCACCGAGGTGAAACACAGAGATCATTTAGACTGAATCCTGCGTTTTGTGCATGTGGGCATTTGTTGGCGCCGCGCCTCGATGCATCGAGGGGTGTTGAGGCGGTGGGGAGGTGGGGGGGGGCAGAGAGGGAACAAAAGCCTCGGGCGGCCTATGTGGTTGTCACATGGAGCTGAGGCATCGGAACAATGGCTCTAATGTAGGAGAACCCCCCCCCCCCCTGTTCACTGGAGATGACGCGCTGCCCTCGCGCACAACGCACATGACACGTTTTGTACCGGGTGGGGGGGGCATCGCACACCAGTAGGAAGTGAAGAGAACAAACTGAATGACGTATTCTTCTTCTCCTTGTTGTGTCTCTGCATCGAGGCCGTCGGGTTCTCCGCTTTTCCGCGGCGAATATGCGTCTGTGGCGCCCGACGCGATGAGGGGAAGAAGGAGACGAAGCCCACACAGAGGCCGCCATTCATTCCGATGGAGCAGAGGAGGGAGGGGGGGGGCGCGATCGATTCGGGGGGGGGGGGGGGGCTGCCACCGACGGCCGATCCTTTCACCCTCCACCCTCTGCCTCCATCACGTTTCGGTTTTTCTTCTGCTATCCCCCTCGCCCCTGGGGGGGAGGATTCCTTAACCCATCACGCCAACCCAACCCCCCCCCTCCCCCCCCCTCGCCTTCTCCTCTCTCGCATCCTGCTTTCTTCACGCTGCCCCACTCTCTGTCCCCGGGGAGACATGGGGGCAAGAACGGCGGGGTGGAAGTGTGTGTGTGTGTGTGTGTGTGTGTGTGTTGGGGGGGTTGGGGGATTAGAGGGAAGGGGTTGTTGGGTCAATGAGCTGAGAGAGGGGAGGGGGGGGGACGGACGCCGCAGCCATAATAAAGAATAGAAATAGCAAAGGAAAACCCAATCTCTCCCTCGCTCCCTCAGCTCACAATTTCCATTCGCTTGCATTTTCTATTGAAAGCCAATAGCGTCGTCCGGGGGCCCCGAGATGGATGGCTGCACTAGAGCTAAGGTTTAATCAATAGGTCTTTTTAATTTGCCATCGATCCGCGTTAAAAGCTACTGCGGTTGTTGCTGCCGGTGCTGTGTGTGTGTGTGTGTGTGTGTGTGTGACTGCTCGATGTGTTCTGGTCGTGCATCAGAGGCAGAGACGGCTGCCGAGCTTTCGGGTTTATTGACGCGCTCGCCCATTATTTAATTATTTAATCCCCAGACAGATACTGATGGAGCCGGCTAATAGATTGCGGTTGCTTTCCAAGTCCTGCACCCCCTCCCCCGCTCCCTCCCCCCCCTCCCCCCTCGAAATATGCGCATAAATGGAATTAGGGCCCGCTGTTGGGGAAAGCATTCGTGGCGGCGACGCCATCGGAGGGCCGGATGCCGCTATGAGCGCACTTAGTGTCGCCGAACCCTCCGGCTTGTTGACTCGCTCACGGGCCTCGCTGGTCGGTTCTCAAGGAGGTTGGGGTCCACGAAGGGGTTCGGCGTTTGTGTGTGTGTGTGCGCGTGTGCGTCGAGGTCGAGGCTCCGTTGCTTCACCACAACCGTCCAAACGAAATGTCGCTGAACGCCCGTCTCCCGCCCGTCTCTTTTCTGCAGGCGACCGCGTCCGGCAGACGGAGAACCGCGCCACCCGCTGCAAGGTGGAGCGCCTGCAGCTGCTGATGCAGCAGAAGCGCCTGCGCCGGAAGGCCCGGCGGGACCAGCGCGCGCCGTACCAGTGGCTGCCCAACCGCAAGGCCGGGCGCAGCAACAGCAACAGCAGCATGTCCAGCGACGGCTCCCTGGACCTGGACTTTGACGACTCGGTGTGGAAGCCCGACGTCAAGGCCGACTTGAAGTCCGAGTTCGTCATGGCCTGAGGAGAAGAAAAAAAATAAAGGAGTGGAAGGAGCGAAAGCGTCCGACCCTGTGGGGGGGGAGGGAGAGAGAGAGAGAGGGGGCGGAGTCGACAGCGTGCGAAGCATCGCCGGGGGAAACTACTTAAAGAGATCTATTTGGAAGGAAACGGTAAATCAAAGCTGTCCATCGTGGCTCCGTCCCGGCAGACTTTATCCCCGCCCCTTCACACTCTCCGGCTTGGGGGGGGGGAAAAGCGGCATCAGCCGACGCTCGGATTTGGACGGGCAACAACCGGACTCGACAGTGTACGCGACTTTTTAACGCTCGCAGAGACGACGCCTGAGCTCGAGCGGAGCAGGATTCAGTGGGCGGCGGCGGCGGTGGAGGTAGTTTTCTTTTCTAAGATACGTTTTTGTTTTTCCAAAGCGCACTCTGGACAGCAATGAAGAGACTCACACTGGACTTTTCACCGGAGGCCTCGGTGTTTCCTCTGGAAGGGAACCGCCGGACGATGGATTACTCCAGCGGGCGTTCTCATCGATCTCAAAGCTCACCGACCAGAGTCCAGTTTTTACGGGGTGGTTAAACTTTTCCTTTTTTTTTTTTTTTTCATTTTGAAACATATTATATTTTATAAACAAAAAAAAAAGAATATGTAGCATTGTTCACAAAGCATTCAGGTTTTCATATGACAGTTCAAAGTAGTTGATTTGCACATTTCCTTGATTTATAACAGCTGGTCAGAGTGCGAGGACGAGGAGGTGGGGCCTGAAACCGCATAAGAAATGAATATGGAACTATTGATATCAACCTCAGTGACATAGGGTATCGATAGGAATGATTAATAAGTAAACTAAATGAATTAATATTAACAGAAAGTGCTTTAGAGGATTTTTAAATCTTTAAAAATGTATATGGAAAAAAAATAATCTATTTTTTATTTCTCTTCCTATCTGTTGTTTTCAAAAAACAACAAATACATCCATTCAATCATCCATTCATTCATCGGCTCATCCACGGATTAAACTGTAGTTGTTCCGCCCCAACGAGCGATACGGAAAGTCAAATTTCATCCAGCCCGCCTCATGTCTTACAGGCCTGAATGGATTCGAGTAGTTTGTGTACATACATGTGACAATTGGCAAAGGTTTATGAGGGTGTGTGTATGTTTGACTTTAAGTGTAAATTGATTTATAGACGGCCCCGCGTTTATGTCTCACGCCCCATCGTTTCTCAAATCATGCAGTGAATGCATGGGTCTCTACGTAATATCCCAACAGGATAAAGTTGCTTTATCACAAGTCCTCATAGTAACCATTGTTGTTTTTATCGGCAAGAGGTGGAGAAGAAGTGGGATCTGTATCCAGCATCATTATCTAGTGCCTCCATCTGTTGACATATCAGGTCAGGCCTTCCACAGTTCTGCTGCTGCCCCCCGGGGGCGTGCGAGTAAAAAAAATAATTTCCAACCGGAAAATGGGGAGGAAGTGGCTTTCTTTCTTTTGCTTGCAGAAGGAGATAAATACACTGATCTTTTTTTTCTTTTCGATGGAAGCAAACAAGAGACATGGTGCTGTGGAAGTGAGGGTTAACAACACGCATGATTTTGAAAGAAAATAAAACAAGGCCGGCTCTGGGTTACTCTCTTTCTTTTTTTTTTTTTTGTAATTTGGATTCCCTCCAAAAACAGAGTCCGCTTAAAAGTATTACAACGCAAAAGGAAACCAAAACAGATGAAGTTAAGTGTGGACACGCGTCTTGCTCAGCACTGGACATTCCTGTTGTGTGTCAACGAAGACGATGACGAGCAAAGACTCGCTCTCTTCCTCCACGAGCCCCCCCCCCCCCCTCTCCTCCCCCCCCTCTCCCCAAAGCGCTGGTTCCACCCCCACCGGGACCCTCAAAGGACCCAGAAGGCGTACAAACTTCCCCCCTTTTCTTCCTCCATCCGAGGCTCGCTGTACTGATGTACGACGGAGGGGCGGCGGACCCTCGGTTCTGCCGTTGGACCTCAAGAGAAGCGCCTGGTTCCGTCTCTTCGTCCGTCTGTCCGTCCCGCCACAATCACACTCCCAGAGATTGCAGTGAGAGATTACCTTTTTTTTGGGGGGTGAACCTCATTTCTTTTTTTTTTCTTTTTTTTTTTAAGTGGCCTTACCTTTCACTAAAAAAAAATGAGACAATGGGGGCGGGAATGTTTATTTTTTATTTTTTTTATTTTTTTAAACCTTCTGTGTGCATCGTTGTCATCAAGGCGCCATCTCCTGTCACTGAGGACACTGGGCATCTGTCGTTTAGTGCTTTTAGCTGGTGGAGTCTCTATTATGTCAAGGCTTCTGTGCCTTAAAAATGTCGCCCTCGCCGTGTCGGTGTCAGATTTAAGCTTGTTTTCATTGGTCGATACGCAGGACTGCGGCATTCGCAGCCACGAAAGTTTTTTTTTTTTTTTTAAAGGGGTGAAGCTTGTTCGAGCCTCTTGTCCCGTTTCTTCATTGTGTTGCCATGCTTGTTGGGTCTCCGTAGTCCGAAAAAGAAACCCCATCACGTCCCCCTTGACTCAAGTGCTCCCACCAACAAGCTGCAAGCGGCTACGAATCTGCGTGACGCATGTTAACTGGGGGGGGGGGGGTCACGCCGCAGTACTTAGACAGCGTCCTCTGAGGACTCCAGACTACACGCACTTCCTTTTTCCTTGGCTACAACATTATTAATGGACAATTTATCCCCCTGCCGCTCCCAAATTTTTATTTAATTTTGTTTTGTATATGTATGAACTATACTCTGTGTGTGCCTCACTTCTGTGTGAAACTCAAAAAGATGAAACTAAACAAAAAAGATGACAAAAGCATTACAGAGAGGATAAAAAAAAAAAATAACAGTATGTTGGTGGAATTCTGATCACGTCATTTAAGTTGCCTGTTCTTTCTTGTAGCCAACTGTTGAAAATAACAGGATTCAAGAATACAATTTACAATGTTCTAGCTCTAGACCGGTGTAGCACATGTGTGACTGTATTAATTTATGAAACCAAAATGGTAACTGTGAATTATGTATTTCTTTGTACATTTTCTTTTTTAAAGCGGGGGAGAAGGACATAGCTGAGGCTCGTGTCTGGAAAAACCTTTCTTTTTATTTGTTTTTTATTTGGTGGAATATAACCGGAACAAAAACATGTTTCCGATAAAAAGGAGGAAAACAAATAAAAAAAAAATGAGAAAATTGACACAAAAATGAAAAAATGTATGAATATATTTTTTTCTTAAGCAATACATTTCAGTGTGACTTGTGATAGAACATTTTTCTTTTTTAGGTAATAAATAAATAAAAAACAAAATGAATACATCCGGTCGTCTCCATGTTCATTACTGTTCAGTATATTTCATCTTGTATATTATTTCAACTTCATTATATACAGGAACGTAGCGGCGAGAAGATGGAGCGCAACTATGTGGGGGGGACAACAGATTCACTTCACCGTCGCTATTGGCGGACGTGCTACGCGTGTATTTTGCGAAATGAAAGCGAGAACTGCTCGGGTTGATCTTTTTTTTTTTTTTTTTTTAGACTCGCGTGACTGGAAACGCCTCTTTTGGCCTTTTCTCGTGCCCCCCCCCCCCCTCTTTGTGCAGCCGTGGTTCTGGTAATGAAAGCCTCCCACACAGCGGCCTTCTGCACAGATGCAAACACGCCTCCTCCCGCGCGTCAGTGGCCTGTGGTGAACTCAGGGCGGGTAAAGTTTGATTAGGTTAGCCCGATCTAAGAGGACAAGAGCCCATTGATTAGCTCATGAATAGCCAACCGTTGCATTTCTCTGAAGCCACGCAGGTAGAGAGAGGACCCCACCAAATGTGGAGCGAAGATTTCGTCAGTTTCCCCGTCGTGGTGAGTCAAAGCCAAACCCGGCAGTCGCTTCGCTTCGCAGTCGACCACAATCACTGAAAGCTTTTTTTTTGGGGCATTCGGCTCCCCACATGCACCTCTGGGAGCGGAATCTCAACACAGATATGCGAGGGTCAAACGTTAATAATGAAAAGAGGCAAACGCAGATTGGGACCTAGAAGGAAGCCGGACTTCAGATATTTGTGTCATGCAAAGAGAACCGTGCTCACGGTGATTTTTGTAATCGCCCAACAACAAAAAGTGGCTCGACTTGACATTTGTCAGTTGGCCGCGACTCAAACAAAACCAACCACAAGCATTCAGAGGCACTATCGCAGGTGCACCTAACAGACTTCTCTCAAACTGATTCCGCTTGCGGGAACGGCCTCGCGCGTCACTGGATGCGACGTGAGCAAGAGGCGCAGCCGGTGAGTTGCCTCGGCTCTCCAGTCATACTGCGACTACCGGGAGCCTCTTCTGAGAAGTCGCTGCCTATTTCTGACTGCAGCCTCAACCTCCGCGCGGCCTTCTGCCGCGTTCTGCAAGCTCGCCGTCTGTGGATGTGACTGCCTGTAGAGACAGAAAAGTACTGAGAGTGAGAAGGGGGTGAGGGGGGGGGGGGCGGATAGAGAGAGGGGGGGAAGAGGGAGGCTCAGCTGCCACCGCAAACTGAAACCCTGCGGCTCTGGGATCGAGAGGAGTTCCGCAGAGTTGGGGTTTCACACGTCGTTGTGTGATCTAAGATAAGTCACACTCAGCTGTATCCTTCCTTCACTTAAAAATACTCACTCTCTCTCTCACACACACACACACGCACACACACATGCACACACACACGCGCGCACAAGCGTAACGGAAAATATTCCAGGATGCCGCGTAGCACGAAAGTAAGTATGTAGCCTTGTGCAGTTTGGAAAGTTCTCAGTATTCTGTGTGTGTGTGTGTGTGTGTGTGTTTGTGTGTGTTTGCCCTTTTCATACGTTGGTTCACGAGAAGGAATTTGCTGAAAGAAGCAGAGAAGAATATAAAGATGCAAACATCCCGCCGCACGCTGCAGGGATGGATGTGGGATTCCTAACCAATCTATTCACAATCAGACACACGTCAAAGGGAGATAGTTTGGCAAAATATTTGAGCACCCTTTGTATACAAATCACACACGAGTCGAGTGTCGACATAAACGTGAAGCTACTAGCGGTTAGCGCAGCGTAGCACACAGAATGGTAACTACTGGAAAACGGCTATACAGGATATTGTTAAACTCTCAAAGTATCTGGGTTCCATCTTTGGGATCATCACAAAACGTATTTTGATTGGTTTTGGGATAATTTGTGTATTTCATACAAAGGCGGAGGAGTCTAAGGATGAAGCTAACCATCTTAAAAGCATCTTTCTCCTCAATCTTCTTATGGAACTCGTGTTTTCCTAAATTTCAGACTTTAACATCTTCTGCACCGTGTTGTCATCCGGGGAGAAACGTCATTTGTCGCCGTAGCCCGCTCACGCAATCGATCCCTTCGACATGAGGACAACGGCTATCGTCTTTGCTCTGACGGAAAGCCCCGTCTGCCCCAGAGGGTCCTGCAGCGGAGAAGGTCGGGGCAGAACCTCGGCCTGCGCCGCCCCGCAGGGACCTTGTTGTCTTTGGTCCACTTTCTGTTCATTCCCCGCACAGCTGAAAGGGAAGAACGGATCTCTGTTTGAGACGCTACCTGCTGGATATTTATGCAGCTGTGAGGCTGAAGAGGACCTTTGATATCTTATTCAGGC